ACAAAGGGAAGTGACTCCCACATGTAAACACCGAAAAAAGACGTCGTGGCATCCCCAACTACCATTAGCCCCAAGCGTCTCATATGCAAAATCTCCTTAATCAACAACCCCCACCTCCCCTGTCAGTGCGTACATAACATAATATAAAATATGATTGTCTAAACTTTAAAAAAATTTATTACAACCAATCGTTTTTCTTGTTCCATTCACTGCCAGATCTTTACTAGAAAGTGCTAAAACTTCAACAACCAAAAATGTATTTTATTTTATCGGAAAAAATTACCATAATCATAATCATGCTGATGCCTATAAAACTCTTCATAATATTTTTTCACAGAGTCTCTGAAAATCATAGAATTGGCGGGTCTCGGCGTACATCCATCCTCCTCATCCTCATGTCCCTTAGTCCTTGGACCGTTGGGGCGTCACAGATGACATGTGAACCATTCTCCTCCATTCCTCTCCGTCTTCAGCACTACCCACTGCATCGCCCAGTGTTAGTCCTGTCCACTCTTTGATGTTATCCTCCCATCTTTTTCTTTATCTTCCTCTTCTTCTCCCTCCTCTTGTGGTCCCCTGCAATATTTCTTTGGCAAGCCCTTGTTTCCTTGTTACGTGGCCGTACCATTGTAGTTTGTGTTTTTTCACAGACACCAGTAGGTCATCGTACTCCCCAATTGCCTACGAACCCTTTCTTTCACTGTTTCATTGGAGATATGGTCCCTATACTATCTGCTATAGGCTATAGCAGATGCCAAAAATGGTTCTGAAGCATCTCATCTCCATCACCTTTATTTTCCTTTCAAGATCGGCTGTTAATGTCCAGGATTCGTAGGCATACAGTCATACAGGAAAATGGAGAGGACTAATGACACTGATTAGCATGTTATAAAAATAATCCACCCCCCCCCCCACATGTGAATTATGTGCCAGCCTTCTAGCACGACTAAATTAGGAAAAGTAAAGTACTGTAAAGGGTAAAGTAATAGTTAAAAGTAAAGCAACACTATAAAAACATGTGCCGGTTGGTAAGGTAAAATTAAGGCCAAGGCCAAGGCTTAAGAAGGCTAAGGCAATGAAATTTAAGCACGATTAATTATTTCTAATGATATAAAATTAAAACTTCCTCTTCACCTGATGGAACTAAAGGCCTAAAATAGCGTCTTTTTGTTCATGTACAATATCCATTTAACAAAACTGAACAAGATAAAAAAAAAGGTAGCCTACAACTACAGTTCATGAATCTTTTGTCATTTACGACGCCATTGTGGGAAAAACAAGGAGAACTCTTCTGTCTTCAAAGATACGTTATAAAAGTTGCCCAATTGGATATATTTAATAATTTTTTTAACATTTTATAGATCTATCTACTTTGATATTTCTTTCTAGCCCACTGGATCCATGCACAGCAATGTAAAGGTGGTACTCGCAAGGGACCTCAATATCAGGGGGCGCATTCGCCCAGGGCGCTGCTTTTCCTTT